ATACCTCCCAAGGGAAGTGTTCACCTGTGTGTTTGTGTTGCAGGAACACTAGACTCATGTAGCCATTTTCCCTGCTACACATACATTTAGACCGGTTTTTGTGTCATTTTAAATGGTTTTTAGGTCTGTGTGTATTGTCTCATACTGAGGTGATGGTAAACCAGGGCAAATGCCCATATGTCATATTCATTTGTGTGTAATAAAGCATAATTTTTGGAAATTATTCCCTTAGTGTCACGTTCTGTTCATTATGTAGCCGCTTTTCTGTGAATCTCTTTTCACAACCCTCCTTTTTTGTATGCCTCTTTTGGCTACTGAATGGAGACCATACATTGGGTGACACGTTAATGTATTTAATAACCTCTTTAATAACTTTCTTAGTATATTCACCTCATAAGATGCCCCTGGTACCTTTTTCATAGGCTTTTTTTTGGAGTTTGGGCAATAACACAGGGGCCCCATGATCCCCTATTGCCCGGGGGCCCCATGAATTGTCAGTCCACCCCTCCTCCCTCCCCCAGCCTTCCTTCCCTCATTTTCCTTCATCCATCCATTCCCTTTTCCTTCCTTCTTTCCCTTTTCTTCCTTTCACCATCCCCTTCCCTTCATTCTTTTCCTCCCTCCCTCCCCTCCTTCCATTTCCTTCCTTACTCCCTTCCTTCCTTCCCTCCCCTTCCTTCATTCCTTCCTTCCCTCACCCTCCTTCATTCCTTCCTTACTTCAACCATTCCCTCTCTCCCTATTCTTCCTTCCTTCCTTCCTTTCCTTCATCCATTCCCTCCCTCCCTTTTCTTACTTCCTTCCTCCATTCCTTCCTTCCTCCCTTCCTTCATTCCATCCTCCATCCATTTCCTTCCTTCCTTCCCATCCTCCATCCATTCTCTCCCTCCCTTTTTCTCTCTTCCTCCATCCTCTCCTTTCATTTCCTTCCTTCCTCCCTTCCTTCTTTCCTTCCCTCCCCCTTCCTTCATTCCTTCCTTTTTCCTTTCCTCACCCTCCTTCATTCCTTCAACAATTCCTTCCCTCCCTCCCTATTCTTACTTTCTTCCCTCCCTTCTTTCCTTCCTTCTTTCCTTCCTTCATCCCCATTCCCTCCCTTCCTTTTCTTATTTCCTTCCTTCCTTCCTCCCTTCCTTTCCTCCCCTTCCTTCATTCCTTCCTCCATTTCCTTACTTCCTCCATCCCCTCCTTTCATTCTTTCCTTCCTTCTTTCCTTCCTGCCTTCCTTCCCTCCCATTCCTTCCTTCCCTCCCATTCCTTCATTCCCTCCCCTTCCTACCTTTCTTCCCTCCCTCCCTCCCTCCCTCCCTCCCTCCCTCCCTCTCTCCCTTCCCTTCCTTCCCTCCCTCCCTCCCTTCCACTCTCCCTCCCCTCCCCTTCTTTCCTTCCTTCCTTTCCTCCCTCCCTTTTCTTCCTTACCTTCATTCCTTCCTCTATCCCCCTCCTTAATTTTTTCATTCCTTCCCTCCTCATCCTTCAATCATTCCTTCCTTCTCCCCCCTCCCCCTTCTCCCCCCTCCCTCCCCTTCCTTCCTTCCTTCCTTCATCCCCCCCCCATTCATTCTTTCCTCCCTTCCCTCCTTTAATTTCCTTACTTCCTCCCTCCCCTCCTTTCATGTTCTTCCCTCCTCCCTACCCTCCTTCCTGCCCTCCCTTTCCTTCATTCCTCCCTCCATCTGTTCCCTCCCTTTTCTTCCTTCCTTTCTTCTCTCCCCTTCCTTCCTTTACCTTCATTACTTCGTCCATCCATTTTCTTTCCTTCCTTCACTCCTTTCCTTCCTTCCTCCATCCATTCCCTCCCTTTTTCTTCTTTCCCTTCCTTCCTCCACCCCCTTCCTTCCTTCCTCCATTCATTTTCTTTCTTTCCTTTATTCCTTCCTTCCTCCATTCATTCCCTCCTTCCCTTTTCTTCCTTCCCTTCCTTCCTCCACCAACCCCCCCCCCTTCATTCTTTCCTCCCATCCCTCCTTCCTTACCTACCTCCCCTTCCTTCCTCCCTCCCCTTTCCTTCCTTCCTTCCCTTTCCTTCATACATTCATTTTCTTTCTTTTCTTCATTCCTTCCTTCCTCCATCCATTCCCTTCCTCCCTTTTTCTTCCTTCCCTTCCTTCCCCCGTCCCCTCCCTTCATTCTTTCCTCCCACCCCTCCCCTTTTTTCCTCCATCCATTCCCTCCCTCCCTCCCTTTTCTTTCTTCCTTCCTTCCCTCCATCCATTCCCTTCCTTCCGATATAAGGGGGGTACAGGTTCTGTTTATTCATCCCAATCTAATGACAGCCCAACAAGTACTAATGTTCCCTGTTCACTCCCTACTGACACTGTCCACTGCCTCCACAAAATCATTGTGAAAAAAATAATACAGAAATAAATTGTAAAAAATATTTTAAAAATTAGATCATTCTGACACCCACACCATTGCTCTACTGACACCATCCACTGGCCACCCAAAAGCATTTTGAGAAAAAAATGATAAAAATAATAAAACATTAATTTGTAAAACAAATTACAAAATTGTAAAAAAATATTAATAATAATAAAAATGAAGAACTACTGACACCATCCTACACATACTATTCATAGCCATACACTCCGCACTCCTCTCCCTGTACATACTACCCACTGTCATACACTCCACACTGTACATTCCCTATTTAACATTACTGCACTATATAAAGTCATCTCAGACACGATTTAACCACTCCCCTTTCAAGCCCATGCCCAACTTTAGTGCAATTTAAAACACACCCCTCCTCTCTCATCCCTTCCTATCTCTCTCACTCCTCCTCCTCCTCTCTCTCACCCCCTCCTCTTTTTCACCCTCTCACTCCCCTCTTTCACTTCCCCCACATGGCAGCCATCTTTAAACCTGAAAGTGCCCAGTGGCTTCTACGGAAAGAAGCCGGGAACATTCATTTAAATGTACAAATAAATATATGTTAATTAGAGATGAGCGAATCGAACATGGCGAAGTGGAATTCGTTTCGAATATTGGGAAATATTCGATTCGCGCCGAATCCGAAAATTAGCCAACTTCGGATGCACGAATCGAATTTTCCCAAAAATGGCGGCGACATGTGTGGCGACGGAGCGGGGATCTCTGGGAAGGCGCGAAGACAAGGCGCGCTGACCCATAATGCATTCATTCATGACATGTGATCGCATTAGCCAATCAGCAGCCAGCCAGCCAGCACTGTGTAATGGTGGAGCTATAAATTGCGGCCATCTTACAATTCTCCATTAGCCTGCGGTCATTCAAGAGAGACAGACCTGTCTGTATTAGGGACAGAGTTAGGGCCAGAGAGACTTTAGGGCCACAGAATCGTTACTTAGGGACACAGAATTGTTAATCAGGGACACAGAATTGTTACTCAGGGACAGACACAGAATTGTTACTCAGGGAAAGACACAGAATTGTTACTGAGGGACACAGAATTGTTACTGAGGGACACAGAATTGTTACTGAGGGACACAGAATTGTTACTCAGGGACAGACACAGAATTGTTACTGAGGGACACAGAATTGTTACAGGGACAGACACAGAATTGTTACTGAGAGACACAGAATTGTTACTGAGGGACACAGAATTGTTACTCAGACACAGAATTGTTACTCAGGGACAGACACAGAATTGTTACTGAGGGACACAGAATTGTTACTGAGGGACACAGAATTGTTACTGAGGGACACAGAATTGTTACTCAGGGACACAGAATTGTTACTCAGGGACACAGAATTGTTACTCAGGGACAGACACAGAATTGTTACTCAGGGACAGACACAGAATTGTTACTCAGGGACACACAGAATTGTTACTGAGGGACACAGAATTGTTACTCAGGGACACAGAATTGTTACTCAGGGACACAGAATTGTTACTGAGGGACACAGAATTGTTACTCAGGGACACAGAATTGTTACTGAGGGACACAGAATTGTTACTGAGGGACAGACACAGAATTGTTACTGAGGGACACAGAATTGTTACTGAGGGACACAGAATTGTTACTCAGGGACACAGAATTGTTACTGAGGGACACAGAATTGTTACTCAGGGACACAGAATTGTTACTCAGGGACACAGAATTGTTACTCAGGGACAGACACAGAATTGTTACTGAGGGACACAGAATTGTTACTGAGGGACACAGAATTGTTACTGAGGGACACCTACAGCCAACGGTCGGTGGGTACGTCAGACACAACCGTTAGTTGGCATGGCCCGGGAGCAAGCCCACTGAAATCACGTGTCCTCTACCTGCCCCTGTCCTTTGGTGTTCCCTCACCAAGCGAAGTATCGCATGCTGTGGGCTCAGCCCCACTGTACAGTGAGGAAGAGCTAACAGAGGGCGGTCAGGAACGGGGGGAGACATCCGCCTCTTCAGCAGCCAGGCGAAGAAATACTGGCGAGGAGAGTGGCTCGGTAGCCGGTCTAGAGACAGGTCTGTCTCCTGACCCACACGCAGCCGAGGGGGCTAGTAGTGAGGCGGAGACCCTAATTGATGATGATGAGGCTGATCGCACTTGGCAGCCTCGTCGTCATCAGGCTATTGCTTCCGCATCATCAGGAGAAGAGGGTGCCAGCTTGGCAGCGAGCAAAACAGTGGGTGGGTTGCCCAGGAGGCAGCAGGGTCGCAGCAGTGTCAGTGGAGGCAAACGGCCACGGAGTAGAGCACCAGCTCCACTGCAGCCTACCACCACGGCCAGTAGTGGTGCCGGTGTGCACGGAGGAAGTAGCAGTCAGCCAGTGAGGAGTATCGGGGGCAAAGTTTCCTACTCGGCGGTGTGGCAATTTTTCGTCAAGCCGCCGAGGAAGTAAACGTAGCCGTATGTCAACTATGTGGCCAGAAAGTCAAGCGTGGCCAGGGGGCCCATGTCTCCATTGCCACACTCTGCCATGTGCCACTTTCAGGTCTCCTCACACTGCTGGTGGGTTCCATTTTGTCATAGGGTGCTGGCAGATTACGGGCCTCCCATTGCTGCTGCCAGGCCCGTAATCTGCCATGGGCCCCTGTACCGCCTCCTCATGCTGCTGCCAGGTCCAGAGTGTGTCATGGGTCCCTGTACGGCCTCCCATTGCTGCTGTCTCCATCGCCACACTCTGCCATGTGCCACTTTCAGGTCTCCTCACACTGCTGGTGGGTTCCATTTTTTTGTCATAGGGTGCTGGCAGATTACGGGCCTCCCATTGCTGCTGCCAGGCCCGTAATCTGCCATGGGCCCCTGTACCGCCTCCTCATGCTGCTGCCAGGTCCAGAGTGTGTCATGGGTCCCTGTACGGCCTCCCATTGCTGCTGTCTCCATCGCCACACTCTGCCATGTGCCACTTTCAGGTCTCCTCACACTGCTGGTGGGTTCCATTTTGTCATAGGGTGCTGGCAGATTACGGGCCTCCCATTGCTGCTGCCAGGCCCGTAATCTGTCATGGGCCCCTTTACCGCCTCCTCATGCTGCTGCCAGGCCCGTAATCTGTCATGGGTCCCTGTACGGCCTCCCATTGCTGCTGTCTCCATCGCCACACTCTGCCATGTGCCACTTTCAGGTCTCCTCACACTGCTGGTGGGTTCCATTTTGTCATAGGGTGCTGGCAGATTACGGGCCTCCCATTGCTGCTGCCAGGCCCGTAATCTGCCATGGGCCCCTGTACCGCCTCCTCATGCTGCTGCCAGGTCCAGAGTGTGTCATGGTCCCTGTACGGCCTCCCATTGCTGCTGTCTCCATCGCCACACTCTGCCATGTGCCACTTTCAGGTCTCCTCACACTGCTGGTGGGTTCCATTTTGTCATAGGGTGCTGTATGGCCTCCCATTGCTGCTGCCTCCACCGCCACACTGTGGCTCCACACTCTGGTTTTGGCCCCGTGACTGCCCAAATGAGTGAAGTGTGCGGTGATTCTAAGATCGACGGCACTCATCTGCATGTCATACTGACTGACAGTATTATTTCTCTTCCCCAGCAGACTCCAAGGGCATTTAAATTAAAGGTACAGTGTTCTGCACTAATATAAAGGCTCTCTGAAGCCTAGAAACACCCTTTTTATAAGTTAAATTCGCAGCGAATATATTCGACTCGAATCGAATTTATTCCGCGAATTCGCCGAATCAGCCGAATCAAATTTTTTGAATACTTCGCTCATCTCTAATGTTAATCTTTTAAACATTTTGAATTATTATATGTATAGCTATTGGAGGTATATTCAAAGTTCCATTTCCTATATACGGTCTTCTTAGGAAAAGAGAGTGTTTTACAAAGATTAATTAATTTTTCTAATCATAGTGGGTCAAATTAATGTTGAATTTCAACTGAAGTGATGAGAAAATGAACAAATTCCTTACAGTGTATGATGTTTTCATTCCATTAAGTAAGCCCATTAATTCCAAAATTAAATGTTAAAAGCAAAGAATATCTTTTGAATGACATTCAAATGTTTGGAGAATGTTCTGAGAATTTTTGTACAAATTTTCCAAAAACCTTTCTTAAGAATTTGTATTAAAAATTTTATAGACAGTTAAATCTTTTATTAATTTTGATACAGTTTTGACAAGTATGTCAATAATAAAACAATTACAGCTATTAACTTGGTGACACTAGTCCATACACATACCATAGCCTACCTAATATTGCCTAGATAACTGGAAAATCTGTCAATAATAAAATGTAATGTACTAGCTGTGATTTCTATAGGTGTACATGATAACTCATGCCCAGGATTAACAGACACAATCATTTGTGCTGGTTAAAAGCTCAAAATAACCTCTATACAGTCTGCAGATGATGACTTTCTAACAGGTTGGAAAAATCACTTTGCCAAGATAACTGCCTGTAGTCTCAGCCATTGTTGTTCACTACTTGTGCTGTTCTAATGTTTGTTGGAAATGTATTGATTTATATGAAAAATGCCTATGGCCAACTTTAGAGGAAGAGTTACTGAACAGATAATAGCATAGTTCTTTAACCACATTTGCCTTTAACCACACCCTCCTAACACATGTTATGTCTAGAAACACTTGTAGAGCTAATAGAAGATAATGTAAACATGTCCCCACCTGTGCTAATGCCCCTAATCTCTAGTCTAGATGTGCAGGACTTAATGCCACACAAACACTCACACATTTAGTAATGTGACTTAATTTACTTAGTTCACTAAAAGTTTCATTTGTGTGTTGCCTATTTTGATCCCTTTTAAAGCCCAAGGTTATTGGCATAATGATTTTTTTAATGGTTGTCCAAAATTAATTTATGTATAGTCTACTAGCATTTTTAAAACTTGGGCTTGTACCTGATAACTGAAGATGGAATTTCATTATGCTCTTTTGGAGCACAAATATGCACACAGATATGATTGATTTACCAAATAAGTTGAGAATATTTACTAAACAAATTGTGTAAATAGTTAATTAAATTATCCAGTCATCTGAAAAGCAAACTCATGTTCACTTTGAATATCCAGTTACTGTATGTGCAGATGAAATAGGTATACATGAATATGTTTTTCACTTGATTGGATTAGGAAAGATCTACCTGTTTGATCCAAACTCATGTTTCCTTGTTTGCAAGTTAGTGAATGGACCAAATAAATAGGTGTTAGGCCAAGCCAAACCTCTGGTTTCAGTGGGAACTGAAATATTTAACAGTGGTATTACTGCCACTGCTAAATGTGACAGCATCCTACTCCAACAGCATTTTAACAACCAGCAAAATATCTACACCTGGTGGATTTCCAGCTGACAGTTGAAGGCAAAAAAGGAGCTGGATATTGTAAAGTCAGGTCTAGTGTGGATTTTAGGGGGGGGGGGCACAAAACATAGTGAGGAGTGCCCCCACATTCCATAACAGTACCCCCCTAAGTTTCATAACAGTACAAGTGCATACCAGCATAGTGGCCTTGCATGCTTGGATGAGTGTCAAGTATAAATTTGGAGGGACCTCATGTTTTTTTTTTCTTGTTTTTTTGCATTGGGTTCCTCCTTTACCATCTATATCAGAACCCCATCAAAGACAAAGATCTGGTATAGCCAAAGGAAACACCCAGCCGCTTTTTATCACAAACATAAAGCATCTGAGAGCTGTCATTTACCAGCACCTAAAGAGTGAATTCACACTGCCACAAAGAGCTGCCAGAGTGATTCACCACTCTGGCAGCTCCCCCCCCCCCCACAACTGCGGTAGGGGGAAGTGTGGGATTCAGTTCATCACATGGCTCCTTTTTTTGTTTTGTACAAACTTTATTTGAAGCGTATAAAAGGTACACTGCATTCAATTTTTATCGCAGTGTGAATGGAACACATAGGAAACAACTGTTTCCTATATGTATCTGCGGTGTCAGGCATTTTAACTTGCAGTAAAAACTCCAGTCATGACAAATAGTGCTAATTAGGTCTAAATGGAATTTTTTCCTTTATAAATGTTAATTTTGCTATAGTAAATTTCATACATAGTACAGATGTCCTGCTTCACAGGCAGGTTGGTGGCATATTATTTAGTAGAATTTTACATTTTTGATGTTCTGCTTTAAGCATTGTTAAAATCACTGCTCCCTGCCAAGTTGAATTTTTTAATAATTTTTTTGTTGTTTTTGCTCTGGCACAAAAGCATCTGAGAGCTGTCATTTGCCAGCACCTAAAGAGTGAAATCACACTGCCACAAAGAGCTGCCAGAGTGATTCACCGCTCTGGCAGCTCCCCTCCCACAACTGCTGTAAGGCCAAGCCCCCATATCTTTTGTTTGACAATCCCTAGCCTATTAGCTCCCATTGACTTCAATAGGGTTCAGATTCAGCATCCGAACTTAGGTGAGGCTCACCAAACATGCACTAAATCAAGCCCAATATATTAGGCTCATGACTAGATTAAATGATTTAAGTTATTTACTCAATTCATTGAATAAAGAGACTCAATGAGCTAATCAAAAATGCACAAATCATCCTCACTGCACTCATTTAGTAGTACAATAAATCAGTATTTTTCGAACACTGTATATTATTATATTTGAATTCTCAAATTCTATATTTTTCGTGATGTTACTGGGAACTAAGTAAGGTGATTTTTGTTACACTGAAAGAAAATGTATTTCCAATAACATTTTAAAAGAACATATGAATGTACTAAAATGATTCTAAATCTAAAACATTTTTTACCTTAATGCATTCTCTAAATTAAGGTAAAAAAATGTTTTGTCACTCATTTGCTGTGCTCACCCCACCCCAAACACTTACCTGAGTCTTGTTTTGATACAGCGCCATGCTCATCTGCAGGTCGTCTCCCCTGTCTATCATTTTTTACAGGAGGATTAGGCAGCAGTGGGAGCCATTGGCTCCTGTTGTTGTCAATCAAATCCTGTGAGCAGAGAGTGAGGGGTTGGACTGAGTCAGTCTCTGTGTCTATGGACACACACAGCCTGGCTTAGGCATGTCTACCTTCATAGCAAACAGCTTGCTGTAGGGGCAGACACAGAAGAGGAGGAGTGGACAGCGCCAGTGTTGGACCCAGAAGAGGAGGTTCGGGGCCTCTCTGTGCAATAAAATTGCACAATGCAGGTTAGTACAACATGTTTATTGTTTTAATAAAAATGCCTTTTAAAATGCTTTAAGGTCAGTTTAAATCTTCAGATTCCAACTTTATTAAAAATCATTATAAAAAGGAAATTGACAACTGATACAGCATGTATTGCTTCCCACATAGTATAATTGAACTCTCTGATATGTGTCAGTGGCCCCTACCTATATATCATAAGTAAAATAGCGTCATTTTCAACCTTATACAGAAAGAGATTTCACAGTACAGATCACTCTCAGCATTTTAAATGGAGATGTTCCCATAGCAGTCCTTTGTGTAGAGCAAATAACATCATTATGTAGGAGTAAAAAAAGGCTATCATGGGACAGACATTTGTATTTCCATAACATGTATGTTATCCTGAGAGTTTCATACAATAAATAAATTAATGTATTATAATTTTGTTTTATTGCTTTTTAATAATGAAATGCCATGGGTTTTGTCATTTGCTTAGTCCTTTCTTCTCCACCTTAATGTTTTTTTTAATTGCTATTTCTTTTTAACCATGTTTTATAGCAATTGTGTTTTTATGGTCCCTAGTTTCTTTGTGATGTTTATTCTGTATTGGTAAAGTAATTATGAATGTAATACTAGTAATTGTGAATTAGCTTGATAAAGATGTTTCTTGCAAAGACCAAACATAGCTAAGTACTATGGAGCCAAGCTTGTAGAAACTGCTCACATTTCAAGTATAGTAGACCTTTTTATAATGCCTCGCACTGGAAGGCCCCATAGGCCAGTAGACAGTTCATCACACAAACAAATACTGCTACACTTAATGAACAGACTGCAAATATTTCTGCCTTTGACCACCCTTTATAAATGACCTAGTTTAAGTCTATGAAGTTCAGCTATTTGTTACCTGCTAATCCCCAGTCTGTTATCTTTTGATCCGGTAAAAGGCAAAGGAAAAGAGTACTGAAGCTGTATCCACTTGACTCCTTTGAGAGAAAAAAATCTTTCCTGACTCCAAAACAGAAATTTGATTCCTCTCTGGATCAACATTCCAGCACAACATATTTTCACTTGCCTTGCGTCTAGCCAATGGACATCAAAACCTTTTTAAGCTGAGTATTGACTTTCCCTTCTTTAGGTTTTTCTCTGATATGGCATCCACATTACTAGCAGAAAGTAAGAGCATTTTTTTAAAATTTATTCTAGAGACCGCAAATCTTTTTTCCCATGTAAAACATAAATAGGAACATATACAGTATATCTTGAATAGATTGTGCATCCTTAAAAATGCAACCTTTTTTAAATTATTTAAATTATTAGTCACTAATGTCAATCAGTCATGAAAATATAAGAAACATAATGTGGTGCTCTGCCAGGTTGTACAACAACTCCGTTGACAGTAGACATTAACTCCACTGAAAGTTTGCATTAACTACACCTGCAATCAAAGTCCCTGGTTCATATCTGTCAATCTTTAACTTTTGTAATATTTTACAGT